TTTTTTTTTTTTTTGGTGGCATGAGTATAACGGACACAACCATTGGCCCCTCCACCAGTGTTCTACATTGTTAGTTTCCCCGGCTGCGGCAGAAAGTGCACGAGGTTTCTTTATCCTGGAGACGGCTACTGGGGGGCGAAGTGACTTCCCAAAGTCACGCAGAGTTTGGAATCAGAATTCTGCTCTGCCTGCTCTGTCACAAGCTGGCCTGTTAATAAATCTCCAGCTCCAATCTCTTGTGTCTCTTTGATGGCATCTGCAGGCAGGGTGATCTTTCTGATAAAAACCAGTCGCAGAAGCTCCTGTTGCTTCCCTCTGGCTCTTGCTAAAGGTAGGGGGAGCAGAGCAGCCGCATCCCCCCGGCCCTACTTCCCTCCGCTTCCCCTTCGGACTTGATTATCCAGGCAAGTGGGATTGTAACGCCGCCGCCATCGCCATAGTAACAGAGCTTGAAAGATGCCACGCTGCCCTGGAAGGGACGTCTTGCTGGGTCCCGGGGAAGAGCCAGGGATGCCAGGCACAGGAAAAGGTCCTGGCTTGATAGCACGCGGGGGCAAATGTCCTGCAACTATCAGGGATGGGGTGGGCTTGTTATTACTGGCCGAGAGCGAGGTGGCAGCAAAGTCTCCCACCATTTCTGCTTGGGGCTTTGTTGCTCATCTGCTCATGAGCCACAAGATTGATTTCTCTGTAATGCCACTGGCACCAGCCCATTGTGCTGAGGTTGACGGCGAGTGAACAGAATGGGGAGAGGGGTAGGGCAGGCGAGATTCCAGTAGCTTCTAAGTGATCACCTGTGCTACCTCCTTCCAGATTCAAAGCAGGGAGGGTCTCACAGGTGGAGAAACTGTTCTCTTACATAGATTAGTAGCTCTGGTATAGACGTTCCAGAAGCGCCGAGGGCTGCAGTGCTCCACGCCACCACCCTGGCTTGTGGACAAATCCGTAACATGGATCATTCATTTTGTTCTCAAGGCTACCGGGGGAGAAGACAATGGCCACGGGCGCTGTTGACAAGCGGAGACTTAAGTGAGGGGCAGGACAAGAACAGGAGGAGGAGGAGAGACATGAAGACAGGTGTGGAGACCCAGTGATACCTGCATGGGGACCAAAGCTGGCCATTCTTGATACCCAAATGTGACTGAGCATTCCAGCCGGAGCCCGGCAAATGAGCAATTTTAAAGACCAACTCTTTCCATGAACTTGGCCACAGCTAGATTTCCAGGGCCACTGCTCACCGTTGGCATCCTCAGCGGGGCCCAGATCACTGTGCTATGCACCTGGGTCACTGATGGGAATCAAAATCACCTCTGGTGCTTAAAAAACCAACCAACCAACCAACCAACCAACCAACCAACCAACCAACACACACCAAGCCTGCTGGGCCCCACGCCTGCCGTGTCTGAGCGGGTGAGCACATGGTGGTTGAGAGTGTGGGCTCTGAAGCCAGACAGGCCTGTTTGGAAACTCCGTCTGCCATTGCTAGCTGGGTGACCCTGGGAAAGCTACCACGTGGAGCTCTGTGCCTCAGTTTCCCCGTCTGTAAAACAGAGGAAACGACAGAACCTCCACCCCAGGGCTGTTGTGACGATTCCCAGAGGTCATCCAAGCAGATGCTCAGCTCGCACGAAGTGCTTGGGACACTAAGCTATTGCAGGTATACGGGGCCCAGTGTTCGCACTTGGGAAACGCTCCACAGTGACGCCCATCTGCAGACCTGAGCCGTGTTGGGGGGATGCAGTGATCTCCAGGCCCCTTCCAGCTTGCAGCATCGGGTGTTAGGCCACCGTGAGTTAAAATCACAACAGGCAGGACCTGTCTATCCCCGGTTCCTTCACTTGGAGGGGGCAGGAGACCCTCCCGGGAGGAGGCCAAGTCTGAGCGAGGAGGGTTGAAGGAAAGAACGCCCACGCTAAGCCGCAGAACAGAAGAGGAAGGTGGAGGTCGGGAGGATAGGGGCCTGGCTCTGGAGGAAGAGGGGGAGAAAGGCAGGAGGCAGGATAGTCAGTGCTTGAGGCCTGTTTTCCAGGAAGTCCCCAGAGCCGGACCCGATCACGCTGGCCATCCGTCAGCTCCCAGGGTGCCTCAGTCTTCTGCCCTAATACACTTGGAAGTGTGCTGCAGTGGCCCCGTCCTTCCAGCAGCGCAGGGTATCCACGGCAACCGAGCGGCAGAGCGGGCAGGTGCGCTCCCGGTCCAGCCAGAGGCAGAGGCACTCCTCACAGAACACGTGCTGCAGGGACAGCAATCAGTACAACTGGGGACACTTCACTGAGTGTCCACGGTGTGCCCGCCTCGGTCCTAGGAGCTGGAGACACAGCAGTGAACAAAACAGACAACTCCTGCCCCCATGGAGCTTGCACTCTAGTCAGGGAGACAACTGGCCAAAGGAAACCCCAAAATGTAGCGGACGGCAGCGGTAAGGGCTGAGATGAAAAGGCCAGGGGGAGGAGAGAGAGAGTGCGTGGGAGGGCTGCTGTGTTCAGAGTGGCGGGCCCAAGACAACTTCACTGAATACCCACGTTTGGGTAAAACCTGAAGGAAGGTGAAGACTGAGCCCTGAGGATCTCTGGGGAAAGAGTGCTATTGGCAGAGAAAATGGCACGTGCAAAGATCCTGAGGCAGGAGGGCCTGCTGTGCTGCTGAGCCTGGGAGTGGAGGGTGGGAGGGAGAGATGAGGTCAGAGAGGCTATGGGGAAGGTATGCAAAATGCACAGGGCTCTGTGGGCATCATGAGGCCTTTTGCTTTTATTCAGAGAGAAATAGGGAGCCGTGGTAGGGCTTTGAGCAGAAGAGTGACCTGAGCAGGATTTATCTTTTTTTTTTTTTTTTTGTAAGATTTTATTTTTAAGTAACTTCTACCCAACGTGGGGTTCAAACCCACAACCCTGAGATCAAGAGTCGCACGCTCCACTGACTGAGCCAGTCAGATGCCCCCAGGATTTGCATTTTTAGAAGATCCCTTTAGGCACTGGGTTGAGAACAGAGTTCAGGGGTTAGTAGAAAGGCAGGGAGACTGGAAATATCAATGAGTTCCATCACTTTCTGGCCATATAACTTGGACAAATGACTTAACCTCCCACTGCCTCGGTTTCCTCATCTGTAAAATGGGCCTAATAGTAGTCCACTCAGAGGAAGACTGATTAACATTAAAAATGCTCAGACATAACAATTGTAGGCAGTCTACATATCTCAGTTGGAGCTTGGATGAGGGGTAAATCATGGCTATGCAGGAGAGTCTGAAGACACCTGGAGAAATCTGAATATATGCTATATATTAGATAATATTTTACATCAATTTAAAATCTCCTGGGTGTGATGGTGGAATTACTGTTATGAGAAAGAATGTTCTTGTTTTTCAAAGATGAACACTGAAATATTTGGGGAGGAAGAATCAAAATGTCACCAAATTATTCTCGACTGGTTAAGGGGAAAAAAATTTACATCAAGGCAAATGTGGTAAAATGTTAATGATTAGTGAATGTAGAGGAAGGCTAAAAAGGCGGCTGTCCATTATATCCTTCAGCTCCATAGTTTGAAATGTTTCAAAATAAAATTGATAATTTAAAATGACAATATGAAAATCCAGATACAGTGCTTCTTAAAAAGTTAAAACATTTAAATGAGGGGCGCCTGAGTGACTCAGTCGGTTAAGCGTCTGACTTCGGCTCAGATCATGATCTCATGGTTCATGAGTTCAAGCCCCACATCAGGCTCTCTTCTGTCAGTGCAGAGCTCTCTTCAGAT